ATTTCCTCCCCTCTTGCCTCAGCTTCGGTAGAGGGGCGACTAAGCTCACGCTCTGGAATCTGCTCAACATCGATGGGCTCACCGCTGCCGTCCTGGCGCAGTATGGACTCCTTCGGCTGTGCTTCCACTGGTAAACCGCCCAGCTCGCGCTCAGGGACATCAGTGGCCTCTGCCGGCTCCATGCCCAGGTCTCGCTTCGGAATGTCCGCTACCACGGCGGCGTGGCCCTCAGGCTCAGTCATTTCCTCCCCTCTTGCCTCAGCTTCGGTAGAGGGGCGACTAAGCTCACGCTCTGGAATCTGCTCAACATCNTCATCTCCTCTCCCTCCGCCAGCAGCGCGTCGCGCAGGGCACACAGCTCCTGGTAGTACGGGTCCTTTTCAGCCACCACTGACACCCGCGGGCTTTTTTCATTATTTTCCACTGCCCTTGTATCTTTTTCTTTACGCTCAGTCATTTCCTCCCCTCTTGCCTCAGCTTCGGTGGAGGGGAGACTAAGCTCGCGCTCAGAAACCTCCACAACCTCGATGGGCTCACCGCTGCCGTCCTGACGCAGCATGGACTCCTTCGGCTGTGCTTCCACTGGTGAACCGCCCACCTCGCGCTCAGGGACATCGGCATTTTCACCGGGTTGGAGCGTCCCGTATTCACAACTCTGCTCCAAAGGTTTCCCGGGAAGATCTACGTCGCCCTCAACGAATTCCGTCGCCTCCACGTCGGGAACAGACGTGAATGATGTTCCTGGGGGAAATGATTTGCTCCCTCCCCTCTTTTTTCGCGTTCTTTCCTTCTCTGAAAGAATATTGCCGTCCCTGCAGACTGTCTCTTCCTCCGGCTCCATGCCCAGGTCTCGCTTCGGAATGTCCGCTACCACGGCGGCGTGGCCCTCAGGCTCAGTCATTTCCTCCCCTCTTGCCTCAGCTTCGGTGGAGGGGCGACTAAGCTCACGCTCTGGAATCTGCTCAACATCGATGGGCTCACCGCTGCCGTCCTGGCGCAGTATGGACTCCTTGGGTTCTGCCTCGTCGGCCTCACCCCCAAGGTCGCGCTCGGGTAGCAACTGTGCCTCCGCCGTTGTCGCCTCGTCCTCGCCCAGCAGACTCTCCTTGGCTTGCCCCTCGTCACCATCCTGGCGAGCAAGCTCGCGCTCAGAAACCTCCACAACCTCGATGGGCTCACCGCTGCCGTCCTGGCGCAGGATGAACTCCTTGGGTTCTGCCTCGTCGGCCTCACCCCCAAGGTCGCGCTCGTGTATTACCTTTTTGTCTTGAAGGGTGCTTGGTTTTTCTTGGTGGAATTGTTCAATTATTTCTTCTTGTTGATGTGCATATGTACCAATGATTGGTCGCGGTTTTATGACAATTTTTTCGGTTTGTTTCGACTGCTCCTCTTCAGAGAGCTTTGCTTCTTTCGGTTGTGGACTCCATGCTTCTGCACCTTGAATTACTGCGTCGTGTAAAATGCGTACACTGAATGATGGGTTGGTCTCTCCCTCCCATTGAAACTCTGCTTCTTCAGGAATGTCGGTAGGGTGGGGCGGTAGAAGTGACATTGCGACTCCCGTCTGAGAGTCATCAGATTCTATTGTGGACGCTTTAGCAGAAAGCTCATTCGTTGCGTCGTGGCTTTTTTGCGTCGGTTGCGACTTGAGGCGGCGAACACCCTCTATGAAAGAAACTGGTATAGCCTCATCTTCATCGACAGTGCTGTCGGCAGAAGATCCTTCCTGCACGCATACTTCCTGGTGTCGTTGGGGAGGGATGTGAGGGTGAGTGCGCTTTCTTTCTACTGTTTGTGGTTTTAATGGTTCCTCTGACCCATTTCTTTCTTCTTCAGGCTCACCAAATGCTGTTTTATTCTCCCCAATAACTCTTTTAGAGGCATGTCCTCTGTCTCTTGTTCTCGATGAGAGCTCATACTCTAAAGGTTCTTCATACCCTTCATCACCGCTCTGTGCATCAACTTCTATGTCTTTAAAGAGCTCCCGTCTTGCGTTCGGGCCCATGTGAGATCTATTCCTCGGTGGTAGGACAGACCCCTGCAAAGGTTTTTCTTCTTCACTCGAAGACTCGAGACCTTCGGCATCCACTGTACAGCTTACTTCTGCAGGGTGTCGCGGTTGCCTGTGCGTTCGCTTTTGCGACGGAAGTGTGGACTTCTCAAGTGGCGCCTCATCCACGTTATCGTCGACCGACGATGAGGAAGTAGCCGTCTCCGTCACTTGTTGTGCGAGAGCATTGGATGCTCTTCCATGCGTTCCACGCCTGGTGTAGACTATACGGGCGTCAAGCGGCTCTTCACATTCAGAGGCGGTAGAATGATGCTCCTCCGCCATTTCCGCTTCTAGCGGTTCTCTAATACGCGACTGCGCTGAACCCCGCCTACGACGGTCCCCAACGGTTGGCAGTAGAGATGCCATTCGAAGCTCATCATCATCGGATGGGTCAGACCAACGGCTAAACTCCTTGCCACGCTCGTAGTTCGCACTTTCATGCCGACTCCTCCTCACATTGTCGTGAGCGACAGTTGGCCGCAGTGGGCGGCCAGTGCTGTCTTCATCATCATCATCTTCCTCTTCGCTTCGGCTCTCTGACGCCTCATAGGTGTTTCGACGAACAGCACTGGACTCATGCTTGACATTACTTCGAATTATTTGTACTTGCAGCGGCGTCTGAAAGGAGTCGTCTGAGAGAGAGCTAGATGCGTCTGTGCCATGGCTGGAGCCGTATGAACCACGCTCTACTGGCAGTCCGCTATATACCATACCCACCGTAGCTTTCCCTCCCTCGCGGATGACTTGGACATCCAGAGGAACTTCCATATCTTCTTCACATGGCTCCTTCATGGGGATTTGGGCAGGCATGTGTGGCTGCATTTCAGGTACAACCTTCGATCTTGGAGATAATTGCCCCGGGCTTTTGCGTGGAAGCGCAGGCGAGAGAGGATCATTCTTATTCCTCTTATTCACTGTTAAAGTGTCATTTTCCAATGACTCACGTCTATTCTCATAGATCCTAGAGGCGTTAGGATGTCCAGTAGACCGACAGTCCGCAGGGTGTTGTGTTTCCATGGCGTCCTCCTCGTCTACTTCTGACGGATGGCTGAACTGCTCCAGCTCGGCCGATGGCCCGTCTCGCTGGTGTGGGCCACTTCCCCGCTTACTCGGCTGCTGCACCGTAGTGGGCTCCATGGCGTCCTCCTCGTCTACTTC